AATGTGGGCTCCAACCTTGCCTTTCTGTGTATGACCTTGTACTGGCAGCAGGTGTAGCACTGTGTGAAGTTTTTAATATAGAAATGAATATTAGAATCACAGCAAGATACTTATATTTTGGGTTCTAAATGTCACATTCTCCTAAATCCAAAAGTTCATTGTCAAATAAACAAGAGCAGTATTGACATACACTGACTCAGTAATTCCTCCTTACAAAGGTGAGAGTCAGACATCTGAATCAGAGAAAGCAATAACTGGAAGAACTAGTTACAGGACACACACTCTGTGATTCTAGTTATGAAGTGCAAGAATGATGAACTCCATCTCTATTAGGACAAAACAGTGGCTCCATGTCCAGGTGAGAATGGAAACTATATAAGAGACTTTGAGTGGTGATTTCACATGAGATACATGACAGGGCTGGGTGGTTGGTGGCATATGCCTTTAATCCCAGCACTCGGGAAACAGAAGTAAGCGGATTTCTGTGAGGCCATCCTGGTCTACAAAGCTAGTTCCAGGAATGTCAGGGCTGTTATACAGAGAAACCTTGTCTCAAAAAACAAAAGAAAACAAAACAAAGAGATACATGATCGCTATTCAGCAAACTGTAAACTTATCACTATTGTATCTCATTATATATATATAATATATATTATATATACATATGATAGTTCAATAAAGATATTAAAAATATTAAGAAGTTGGATGTGGTAGTGCATGCCTGTAATCTAAACACTCGAGGGTAAAGTCAGGATGAACAGGAACTCATGGCTAGCTTAGGTTACATACTGAATTTGAGGCCTGCTTGAGCTACATGAGAGCTTCTCAAAAAAACCCCAAATCAAATGAAACTAATAAAAATAAAACAATGGGTTAAGAAACAACAAACTAGGACATAGTTGTCAGCAGAAATTCCCTGCAACGTTTTCTGCTCTTTTCTCCTTTCCCAGGTACAACATAAATCCTAGTCCTTCTTGCCCTAACACCAGCAACATTCACTTTTGATGACTCCTTCCCCAGGACAGCAATCATAGACCTCCACTTAGCCTCTCTGCTGTCCTGACCTCTAACTCAGAAAGCATTAATTTCCTCATCCTCTTACTCACTTCCCTTCTGGAAGCTGCCAAATCTCCAGTTGGCCTGCTGTGTTGCTTTCTCTGAACTCCACTAGAAAGGTCCTCAACTTTCCTTCTGAATCCATCTTTACATTGTTTTATTTGTAACAAAGACCTTGCACCAGGGATCCTGTGTCTCCTACTGCTATACTGTTGTTTGGTGGGCCACAGGAAGAGAACTGAAGGAGATCTTCTCAGAACAGGTTATCTTACATGACTTCTGACACATAAATGAATTTGTGAACCCAGGATCCATCATTTTGACTTTTTGTTAATCTACCTGATAGCATTTGTATTTACCAATGCCCCCACCAGAATCCAAAAACCCAACTTTTGGATGATGATGCATCAGAAAATACAGTCAGTGTCCCAGATGAACAAAATCAGGTAGATTGATTCCCAATTTTCTGAAAAACCACCATACTGATTTCCAAACTGGCTGTACAAGTTTGTACTCCCACCAACAGTGAAGGAGTGTTCCCCTTGCTTTGCATCCTCTCCAACATAAACTGTCATCAGTGTTTTTGATCATAGCCATTCTGACAGGTGTAAGATGGTATCTCAGAGTTGTTTTGATTTGCATTTCCCTGATGACTAAGGATGTTTAACAGTTCCTTAAATATCTTTCAGCCATTTAGGATTCTTCTGTTGAGTATTCTCTGTTTAGCTCTGTAGCCCATTTTTCAATTGGATTGTTCAGTATTTTCATGTTTAGTTTCTTGAATTCTTTAGAAATTTTAGAGATCAGCTCTGTCAGATGTGGGGTTGGTGAAGATCTTTTCCCACTCTGTAGGCTGTCGTTTTGTCTTATTGACCATGTCCTTTGCCCTACAAAAGCTTCTCAGTTTTAGGTGGTCCCATTTAATAATTGTTGCTCTCAGTGTCTGTGATACTGGTGTTATATTTAGGAAGTGGTCTCCTGTGCCAATGCGTTCAAGACTACTTCCTACTTTCTCTTCTATCAAGTTCAGTGTAGCTGGATTTATGTTGAGGTCTTTGATCCACTTGGACTTGAGTTTTGTGCATTGCAACAGATATGGATCTACTTGCAATCTTCTACATGTTGACATTCAGTTATGCCAGTACTATTTGTTGAAGATACCTTCTTTTCTCCACTGTATAGTTTTGGCTTCTTTGTCAAAAATCTGGTGTTCATAGGTGTGCGAATTAATGTCAGGATCTTCAATTTGATTCCATTGGTCCACATGTTGGGTTTTATGCCAGTACCAAGGTGTTTTTATTACTGTAGCTCTATAGTAGAACTTGAGGTCAGGGATCATGATGCCTCTAGAGGTTGCTTTATTGTTTTAGCTATCTTGGGTTTTTTGTTTTTCCTTATGAAGTTTAGTATTGTTCTTTCCAAGTCTGTGAAGAATTGTGCTGGG